ACTCATCAGTCAACTACTTAATAGCACTTATCAAGTTTCATACCTAAAAGATCCTGTTAGATCAGAAACACCGGCCATAAAAGGTTTGTGCAAGAACATTTGCCCCTCTGCGTTGTTAATTTGCGCATAAGATTCCATCCATGCACACCACCACCCTTGACATAACGAGTTCCGGTGACTATATCAGCACCAGTTTCTAACTGCTTTCTGCGAAATGTAAATGGAGAAGTAAATGGCATAGGCAGATAAGAAATAAGCAAGAAATTATTAGATGGTTTTCTACCTGATGAAGCTTGGCAAATATTTGGCTGCAGAAGAATTAAACAAATTAGTAAAAGAAAAGATGTAACAAAAACAAAATTCATTTAAGAAATTTCAAAAATGGACGTTCTAATTCAACTCAGAGTAGGAGACAACAAATGAATAGAGTAATTCTCTCTGACTACAAATTATAAATTTGTCAGATTACCAATTGCATTCATAGACACAGGCATGTTAAAATGACAGGCGAATTAATAAAACATTAAAGCGACATTTCAATCCCAAATAGTAATTGTTCAGACTTAATTCTGCCGACTTCTTTTTTCAACTTTTTTCTTCTACCACAGTCCTTCTTATTTTCCTTAGTTCAATCATTAGGAACGGCAAACAACGATACAAATCTCAAAGGCACTTACATGGTGTGATAGATCAGCATCCATGATGACAACAAAATTTCCAGACGCATGCTTTCAAACCATGAATATAAGCCGTTCCTGGAATGGAATTGAATCAAAATAACAGCTTTTCATATTTTATAATAACTTAAGAGGACAAGGGTGAGGTAAATACCTAATCCAGCTTAGTAGGCCTGGCTCTTAATAGCTGGAATCACAGAGAGAAAACGCTTAATATAAGATTAGCATTTAGCAGGGACTGAGATAAATATCGATGAAGAAAAGTTTATATATAAAACTCCAACTTCAAGTTGTATATTTCTTACAATCCGATCCTCTCCATAAACTTTCTGCAACTGTTTTACGATATCCTGAGTGCCATCGGGGCTTCCATCGTCCACAACTATAATTTCAAAATCGACGTCCCTAATTGAGGATTGAGCAACCAAAAAGAAACATTCCAAACATGCAAGATCGTTAATCACCATCGAGGAACAGTATAATCAGAATAGATAATGCTCGCTATCTTGAATCATAAAGGAATACACTCTGATTGCCCCGAAACGTAAAAAACCAATCTTAGATTTCCAGAGGTCATGAGTGATGTGCAAATAGAACCAAAACTAAATCAAGAGATGGGAAATTTACCGGAGGTGCTTGAAAATAAGGTAGACGATGAGAGCAATGTTCAGCCGCTCATTGTAAGTAGGAATGATTATACTGTACTTGTTCTTTGGGGTATTAAGCGGCGCTTCCATTCTAATTGTAATCAGCAATTTGGTTCCTCGCTCGTTGTTTCCAGGATCGAATTCTCTGCTTCGTTGTTTCAATTGCCGCAGCCTTTGGCGTAGACGTGTACTTCTAGGGAAAGAGATTTGTTGCAGTGATTCAAAGGTGCGTTTGTACCTATCGCCAGATTCATCTAATGGCTGGCAGAAAAGAGGATGCAAATAATTGTTCAAAACGGTGTGTAGCGAATCAGCTTCTAACCCCACCTGCCAAACCCCAAAAAAAGTTTTTGGCGCCATTTCTCCCTGAAACTATTCATCAACAAAATTTAGAATTACAGCGATCTCTCAAAGGGGGGGGGGGAAGCTTACAAAACAAGCCCTGACAAGCCCAAAAAAAAAAAAGGTTTTCGACCCCACTTGCATCTTAGTTCTCCCAATGATCTATTTGCAAATGGCAATCCCATCGAAAGGCTTGGAAGCAAAAAGAAAAGCACTCAGTCTTTCAAGACAAATGATGCTCAACGGAGAAAATTAGCAAACCCATCAGACATATTCGAATTAACCAGAACGGAGAACGCAATAGCGGAAGGTATTCCATACGAGTGAAGAGGAGAGCACTCTCACGCGAGAGTAGAACGCTTCACTCTTCAGCTTCGAACTCAGCAATCAGATCAGGGAAGGAGACGCCGAGATGCACGACGCTGAGGGAAGGAGGAGGTGCCGAAGCGAGAATGACGGACAAAGAGAACAGAGGTGGGCGGTGAGGAAGTGGCTCGTGAAGTTAGCTGTAGGCCTGGAGCTGGAGCATCGAGCATGAAGTATATTCTGCTTACGCGAGAAATAGGACCGGTAGTAACATATTAGTGGCATGCTAATTTTTCTTGTTAGGTCTGGTTCAAGGGTGGCAGGCCATAGTAATACCATCGGAGAGTTAATATTATAATATCTATTTTACGTGCTTATCAATTTTTTTTTCAAATTAACTAACATTTTTATTTACTCAAATTAATTAATTAAGTGTGCATTAATAACCGGAGAAGTATTATGTTTTCCAATGCTCTGGCTGTGTTATGCCGCGGTTAGCCTGCTCGGCGGCATGCTTACCGGGCTGTTTGCAGAGCCCCGTCTAAGTGCACTCTTGTCGGCCGTCAGTATTTATGGTCAAACATATTGCCGAAGGCCTGTTCATCATGGGATGGAATCTCGTGGTCACTTCCATTATATGTGCGGTGACGACGCAATTCATGGTGAAGTTCAGGAGGCTTCTGCCTTGTGGGGCGACGGAGAGACCCGACTGCTTTAGTTGGATGCATTCTTTAATCTTTATTGTTTGTTGGCGGGTCGTATTATAGGATGCTGATTTTGTTGTTCTTACCCTTTTGTCTCTTGCTCCCGTTTCTTCCCAAGCCTTCTCAGACACGAGTTGTTCGGCTTCCTCTTACTTGGAAAAAAATAAGTTGTATGCTTCTCTCATAGGAAGTTGCCGGCTAACTTGTAATACTCCCTCTCCATAATATAAAATATTGGTTAAATTTTTTCATGAATTAAAAAATAATAGTTAAGTTATTAAATGTGTCCTGAAATAATAAATTTTTTCTAGGTTACCTTTAAATAATATGATTGGAAAGTAATAAAATATTTTCTAAATGCATTTTTATTATCTCTCTTATATTTAAAACTTTCTCTTGTAATTAACGGGGACAGAAGTTTAAAAAAATCTTATTAATTACCAGACAACTTTTTATGCTTTGGACCATAATTTCCTTCCCAAGACTTCCTATATCATGAACCAAGGAAAGAAAATAAATACTTCACATCAACTTTGTATAAATTAAAAATTAGTTAAACTTAATTTTTTTCTTCACAAAATATCAAAATTATTCTCAATAAAAATTATTAGTTCAAAGAATTTGATCAATTAGTTAGAAAATTTTATGTTTATTTAGGAATATTAGGTTAAAAAATTAATGATTCAGACCAAACAATATATTATGAGACACATTTGAGTCCTTATAATAATAAGAACTAAAAAGCGTGTATGCATATATCCTAACACTCTCAAGTCGAAAAAGATTCAAGTATATTTGGAACGCTCAAACCAATGGAAACAAATCAAATTATAGCATGTATATGGTGTGTGTGGGGACTAAATATATACACTAACTAGTAACTAACATGTTGGCAGTCCCAGCAGGAACCAAAGTTAAAAGCGAAGAGAACATGGTAAATCCCCTCAAAATCAAATGCAGCGCCTCCTATTGTGGCAGCGCCTCCAGACATGATGCATCTTCCCATGGTAGAAACGACCCTTCTTGAGATAAATTCTGTCACCAAATATGCATATTATGAATCAAAAAGCGATATACCGGCACAGAACATCTAATTAAAACGAACGTATGGGATGCTGAAAATCTAAACATACTGTCATCCAAAAGAAATATCCACGAAGGAGATTCAGAACTCTGGGATGATCATCACGAACTGAATCTATTCTCTTTGCAAGATCTGCAGATTCAGCTCGAAACTGAACAAGTAAGTGATCTTGAACAAGGGATGCCAAGAGACAACAAGAAAACTAAAATTAAGGAATCTAGACTAGAGCTAGTCCAATCTCATAGTTCAACCAATGTACTCATATCAGTAGATTTTATTATGTACAGCTAGACCATAGTAGTGTCATACATGCAAAGCTATATTGCAAGTGGGAGAATGTACTAAAGCAGTGCGATGAATCCTACTTACCAGCATGGTAATCAAGAATAGACTTTGAAGGACGAGTGTCGTCGTCATAGCTTTTTGTGCACGAACGCAAAACTCTTTGGCTTTTCACTGGTTTCTTTTCACTAAGTTGTTTAAGAAGCATCCGGTACTCGTCCTCGGAGTAAGGCCTCCTGAGATTATCCATGAGCTTATCTCTAAATGCTGTGTGTTTCCGTGCACGGGCTTTTTGTTTCTCCCACCACCGATCCACATTCACCTAGGAAGCAGCAAATAAAGGAATTTATGCAAATCCTACAAACAGTATACATAACGCAAAACAAAGAACAAAAAATTGAAATGAAACAAAAATGATGGATTCATTAAATTTGCGATACGTACAACAGGTTCTGGTTGTTTTATGAGGGGCCTTTTTAAGTCAGGCAGATGGTCGTCTTCATCTTCTTCTTCTTTCACTTCCAAATCCACGTTCGATCGAACATCGGTGCTAAGGGCGAGAGGTTGTTTTGGTTTCCTACCCCTGCGCGTCGTCGCCTTTGGATCCACAATCGTTTGAAGAGGTTGCTTTTGTTTCCTACCTGGTGATTTACGAAGCTGCTCTGCCTCAGAGTTCAAATTAGTATCGATAGAAATAAGACGGGTCCGATCATCAAGGTTCGACTCAGAGCGTGTTGTAGTTGGTAATGTAGAATCCTCTGGTTCCTCCGCTTCGTATTTAATATAGACACCGTCTTCCGGGATGACAAGCGCATAAGATTTTCCGTCCAGCCTCAGATGATCCAAGAAAAACTTATACGGCACATGATCAACATTATCATCAGACACATCGGGTGATACAGCTCTATTTACTTCCAGGAGATGGAGCAACTGGGATTTGACACTGTCGTAGAGGTCATCTAAATAATGCACGACATCTGGGTCGGCCAGTGGATTCTGAACATGCAAAGCTTCGGATAGAGAAGTAAAGAAGCTGAGTTTGTCGTTTCTTGATTGGAGGTTCCTGCTCTTGTTGCGCAGGTGAATAGAAATATCATGGTGACAATCCCAAGACTCGTACTTGATCCTGTCGTCCAATCCCGGTGCCTGTTTGTCTGGATTGGCCGCCATTCCCCGCGCTGCTTTATCAAATTATGACCCCACGCCCTCTGTGCCCTAATTTGTTTCTTTAATTTTAACCTTAATTTATGAATTAATAGTTTCATAATTAATTATTATTTACACGATCAAACATTAAAACTTAAAAGAAAGAGAAACCCCAACCTTCGCAGCTCCGGCGTTCCCGGGGTACGGTGCTCTCGTGTTGGGAAGGGACCCACTCAACTTAAGCCAAGGAGGACGGGGATGGCGAAGACGAGGACGACTTTCTGTTTAAGTGCAGTAAAAAGAGTTTATCCTTAATTTGATGAAAAGACAAAAAACACTCATGAAGCGGTCAGCGCAAATCGAGACAAAGGTGTTCGGATCACCTTAAAATTATTTTTTTAAAATCAAAACAAATTCTTCAGTATATTTATTTATTTTGTATATCATAAAATTATTTTTAAACTCATGATTTTGTTTCTATCCAAACACCTCTAAATAATATTCCTCCGATCCTATTTATAAATCACTTTTAACATATTATACACACAGATTAAAAAAACCTTAACTTTTATTAACTTTCATTTAAAATTCAACTCTTCAATTTTATTATTATTTAATATGTATTATATGTCATGTATGAGCCAAATAGAATAAAATTATACTCCTCTGGTCCTTAATATAGGACCCAATTCTTGAGTTGGTTTTGGTCCTAAATATAGATCCATTTCTCATATTTATCAATTTTCTCTAAATTACCCCTATAGATATTCTCTCAACCATAATCAAATAGAAGAAGGAGAGGGGTATTAAAAAAAGATGATTATGGTGTTTTAGGAAAAATGTGTCACTTTTCTTATAATTAACTAATTTACCTAACTTCCTTAATCTAATCAAATTAGTTAAATGGGTCTTATATTAAGGACCGGAGGAGTACATCAATATAAAAAATTCTTTTAATACTTTATAAATAGGATAAAAAATATCTTCTTTCTATCTTATAAATAAAACCAAAGGAGTAAGAATATTTTAATAAAAAGGCATTGAATTTTTGAAAGTTACTCCTCCGGTCTTTAATATAGGACCCAATTGTTGAGTTGGTTTTGGTCCTAAATATAAGACTTATTTCTCATATTTATCAATTTTTTTCTAAATTACCCCTATATATACTCCCTCAACCATAATCAAGTAGGAGAAGAAGAATGGGTATTAAAAAAGATGATTATGATATTTTAGGACAAACATGTCACATTTCTTATAATTAACTAACTTACCTAACTTCCTTAATCTAATCAAATTAGTTAAATGGGTCTTATATTAAGGACCGGAGGAGTATTATACTTCTTAGGGTGTGTTTGGGTGACACCCCAAACCATGGTTTGGGGAATAATCTACCCAAACAGCCCCTCCAAAAACCAAAACCATGGTTTTGGAAAAAGAAAAATTTTTTTGCTTTTGGAGAAAAAAGGGAGAGTGTGAGGGCCTATATGATATGTATCTTGTTATTTTTTTTATAAACATATTTTTTTATAAATATATTTAATCTTATATTTTATAAATATATATACACATTAATTATTTATTAATTATATTATCTTATGTATTATTAATTATGTGGTAAAAAACATATTATTAACAATTTTATTCCTTCAAATTAAAATATATCATAAAATCTATTTTTTCTGTAATTATCATATTAACTTATGTCTTTTTTTTAGTAATTTGTATATATAAAAGTGCTTCTGATAACAACTATCCAAACACTCTCACTTCTCAGAATCACTTTTTTACAAAATCTATTCTTCACAGAATCTATTTTCCCCAGAATCTATTCTCCAGAATCACTTTTCCAAACCACGGTTTGGTTTCATCCAAACACACCCTTAGTCCGTAATCTCTATGCCCCATTCACGGATCCCGATGCCATTCTGGTCTCGGGACTTCTCGCCGATATTCTTAGAAAAAAGTTCAAAGCCAACTTAAGACATCCCGCCTATCCTTGATGTAAGTCAACTTTCTGAAACTAATATAAAAATTAGTTTAATTTTTAAATTGATTTTAAAAAGGGATAATCCTAATTAAATCAAGTTAAAACACTAAAATTCAAAAGTAGGTCTTCACTTTGTACAAATTCCTAATAAGGCAAATAGACCTAATTAGAGATTTATGAATGTTGTTTAAAGTCCAAAATGCACCTCTTTAATTAAAATGAGTTGTTAGTTCTATATTTTTCTCCTTTACAAATTGTTTTCCTAAAATACGAAAGTTCTTAATCCATAGTAAATGACATGAAATTATAATAATGTTCGCAATTCACATTAATAATACTCCAATGCGCTAATCAATTTGTAAAAGGTGCCGGTCTGAATAAGGAATCAAATAGTCCATAATTCTTAACTCAAAGGCTTTTCAAATAGTTTCCTATTTATTCATGACAATCGTATGCCTTTTTCCTTTGACTATTTCAGAACAAATTAATTATATATTATGATCCTCCGTCTACACTATTTTACCAATTTTCCAAGTGTACATGTGTGTATATATTATTAAGTATATGAAGGATGGATCAATGTTAAAATTGAGCAAAAATCAAACCCATTGAAAATTAAAATCTAGCATTAACCAACACTGTTAGATTGATTAGAGTGTTGGAGTAATTCTTAATATGAATCAATGATTGTATTATAATTTCCTATTATTTACTAAACATTTACTGTTTTTGTATTTCAAGAAAAGAATTTGTGAGGCAGACAAAGAATTTATGAGAGAGAAAAATATAAAGTCAACCAAAAAAAAGAAAAAAAATCACTCAAATTATAAAGATAACAATTCATTTCAATTATAGAGGGGCATTCTTGACTTTCAAGAACATTTCTAAATTTCTAATTAGGCCTTTAATCCTTATTAGGAATTTGTTCAAAGTATAGGCTTGATTTTAAATTTTGGTATTTCAGCTGGATTTAAATAAGATTCTCCCTTTTAAAAACTTTTATTTAATTTATTTTTTATATTTATCTATTTTTTAAAATTAATTTTTAATAATAATTATACATGTCAAAAATTTAATTTTATTAAATAATTGTTTTAATTTATACACATAATTAGTAAAAATATTTTAAGAAGATAATATTTATTTATTATTAATGACTAACTAAATTAATATTTTTAATCCGTGCAAGTAAAACGCGGAGCAAGTACTCTGCTAATTTTCTAGCTGAAGTGGCTAATGCAGTACAGCTGAGAAAAATATTGATTAGAACTCACTTGGCTTGGCAATGTAAAACCTGGGTGCATTTAGGAATTAAAAAATCAAAAATTTACCTGCATCTTCCTCTGCAATTTGACATCTCCATCAGCCATTATAGCATCCAATTCACTATTTAAGCAATTGATTGATAACCTGCTCAATCAGACTAATCACGTTCGATTCTGCAACGTACTTGCCTTTACTGATTGTCACTCCAAGAACAGCCACCTGCCAATTATTCCAATCAATGCACTAGTCAGATTCCATTCTAACACACAAAAACACACTGAAACAAACAGGATTTCTAAGGATCGAAAATCAAATACCTGGGACTGCAAGATTTAGAGTCCTTGAAAAAAGAGAGAGAGCAAATTGGGCGCTGGGACAGTGCGAAGGGCGGCAAGAAACTGATGAGGAAGACCGAAAAGTGAGGAACCGAGGATAAAGGGAAGCCAACTGCCAAAATCGTCCCCGTTGAGACGCCGCGTTTGATCGAGAAGGAAGATGAAAGAGTTTGTTTAGGGTTGTTGCAGAAGGAGAAAAGAAACCCTTTTGAGCGTCGACTGAATGATGAACCAAGGAAAGAAACGCGTGAAAAAACAGGAAGATGAATGAGCAGGTCGGCTTTATCTGAACGAAGATTTTTCGAGTGGGAGAAGGGGGAGAGAGCGTAGGAGCATCTGAAGAGTGAAGAATTAATAATTTCATACAAGACACTTGTAACTTCAACAATTTGCTCTGATCTTCGTTGTAGTTCTTATAATTTTAGATGATACTAGCATCTTAATTATAAAATTTAGTTAACTAATTTAAAAATATTAAAAAAATAAATAAATTAGTTATTTATAATAAATAGATATTATTTTTTTAAAAATATTCTTACTAATTAAATGTGTTAGTTAAAATTATTATTGTTATAAGAATTATATTAGAAAAAATATATATAAATATGAGAAAAAATAGATTATGATCTTATATTTAAGACCAAATAAAAGTCAAACAAAGTCTTATATTAAAAACCAGAGGTAGTATTACTTTATGCTTAATATAAGATCTTGTTTGACTTTTATTTTAATTTTAAATATAAGACCTCGATCTATTTTATCTCTCATATTTATTTATTTTTTTAAGATAATTCTTCTAATAATAATAATTCTAACCAATAAACTTGATTATTAAGTATATTTTAGGGAAGACGACATATATTTATTGTAAATAACTAATTTAATTTATTTTCTTAATCTACTCAAATTAGTCAGCTAGCACTTATATTTAAGACATGAACTAGAATGTTTTCATCTCTAAAGTTTTTTGTCTAATGAAATCTTAATACTAATAGAAAAAATGATTAAAAAAAGAAAATTACAAAATTTTAAATCAGAAATTTTTATAAAAATATATTATTATTTTCAAAAACTGTTAAATGGGATTTTGTAAAAGCTAAATCAAAGTTAAAATAAAAACAAATTGTATAGATCAAATACTGTGTTAACCTGAAATAAAATGGAAAAGTTATGAAAGTTGAGACAGAACGGAACGTTCCGGGATAATCCTCCGTCCCCTCCTAGTTCCGTTCTTGACCCCACTCGGACGGTCGGACCTATATTGATTGGGTCAGAACAGAACGGGCTGCCTAGAACGAATTGCATACCCCTAATTTCATCCCATTAATATTAAAAGTTTAAAACTATTTCAGTAATTTTTTTTATTTTGATTCAAGATATAAATTGTTTTAAATAATATCAGAAAAATAATACCTATATAATTAAATTTTAATATTCTTTTAGTTTTAAATATAAAATATATACTTTTGATGGTGGCAGTCAAATTATTAATGCCTTTTAAAAGTGTGCACCTTTAGGAAAATTCGTAGGGGCGCTGTCGCGAAACGGGTAAGGGAGCTATAATCCAAAGTGGATCATAGTGGAAGCTTCTTTCCACAGCTCAGCACTTTTGGGCATTTTCATCAAATTGAGGAACAGATAAAAGGTAGGCATGAATACTACTATTATATTGTTTATGATTAAAAATCAAAGCCTCTCAGCTCAGTGGGATTCTTCTGCCCTTTCCACCGCTGCCACTACCACCAAGCATCCCTCCTATCCTGCTCTTTAGCATTGGGCAACCCAGAAATTGGCCGTTCCTTTTTCTAGAATTTTTAATCCTTAATTGTGTTGCCCATTGACCACTGGGTCCCAGTGACTCACTTTAGTTGGTTTTGACTGTTTTCTTCCTGACAACAATAAATGTCTCCTCCCTCGTCTCCCACTCTCCCATCAGTGTTCATGCTGCAGGAACCAGTGAGTCCCCCATGTCTCCAGCTTGTAAGTTTCTTGCTTCCCCTCTTTGTGTGCCTCTTATCTTCTCACAAAGGTTGCCTTTTTTGCCTTCTGGGAAATAGTAGATATTTCAATTCAATCCATTGTTTGATGGGGATAACTCATTCTTGTTAATGTGTCGGTTATCAACTTTCCATGATAAAAATCATTCCTTGAGGTTCTTTTATTTTCCCAGCTGAATATTCCTCGGAGATCAAAGAGGCTTATATTCCTCTAAAACGGATGACCAGGTGGCTGTTATTCTTGGCCATCTCAGGACTCAGCTGTGCAACTACTGGTCCTGATGTGGAAGGTGTTGTGCACATTTTCTTATCTTTTGTAACTTTATGGGATCACTGGGACCTATTATTTGATGCGAATGTCTGTTCGGGTCATTGACTTTACTATACAGGTGAAGCTTTGTTAGATTTTTTGAAGGTCCTCAATGATTCTAACCATCAGATGACAGATTGGAATAGTTTTCTTGTGAGCCCATGCTTTAGTTGGTCTCATGTCACATGCAGAGATGGACATGTCATATCTCTGTAAGATTAACCATGTCAGAAAGACAAATCTTTAACCTCCCTTTCTTCTTTTCCTAACATACTACTTTTTCTTTTATGTATGTAACCTTTGTAGGAGTTTTGTTAAATGTTTTTGTGATTCAATCATGCCAATGGATCATCATGCAGGAGCTTGGGTTCAAAAGGATTTTCAGGGACACTGTCTCCTTCAATTACCAAATTGAAATACTTGATTACCTTGTAAGTTGGTATTTGTAAGATTCAGCAATACTGCCTCAGTGCTACTGCGCTGGTCCAGCTAATCAGAGAAACCTTGTTTGTCATGGGTAATTTGTTGGGCTAGTGTCTGATTTACCAAGAATAAATCATAAGAACTTCATATAGAAGATTTTCTAATAATTAAATCATGACCTATGGGTTGAGAGGAACTTCCTTTTCAACTTCTTGTGATTTTCATCATCTGTTATAAGCTTAAAAATTGAATTCTAAATACTCATTTCTTGCATACCATTTTTACAAATACGATTTGTATGTTAAGAAATACTACTTTCAGTCCTTAATATAAGATCTAATTGACTAATTTGTGAAAATGAAAAAGTTACTAAATTACTTTAAAGTATTTATATTTATCGTTTTTCTCCCAACTAATTTGCCTCACTTATAAATTGAAATATAATCTAATAATATACAATAGATTTCTTCCATGATATTATCTCTTATTAGCCAAATTAATTATTACAGGGAATTGCAGAACAATAGTCTTTCAGGTTTCTTGCCTGATTATATTGCCAAGTTGACACGCCTGCAATATCTAAATCTTGCTGACAATAATTTTAATGGTTCCATACCATCCACGTGGGGTCAACTTTCCTCTCTAAGGACTCTGTAAGGCTGTACTTTCCATTTTTCAGATACTCTTGTCCCTCCTTCTAAGAATTATGGATCATATGAAAGCCTTTTGAGAGATTGAACAATGTATGATTGTAAGTGATGATGGTTATTCAGGGTATTGAAAGGGAATGACTTGTTTGGATTCATACCGGATTCTGTTGAAAATCTCAGTAGGTTATCAGAATTGTAAGAATTTCCATTCTGATGACTTTTTTTTTTTTGTCTTTAGTTTTTGGGATTTCTCCTACCTTGAGTTTGCTTACATCTGTATGCTATGATTTATTATTGACAGGGATCTTTCTTCTAATAATTTAACTGGAACCATCCCAAAGCACCTCTTTTCAATTCCAATCTTCAAGTAAATTTTATTAAAACTTGAATCTCTCTAGTTTTTTGGGATTTACTTAAGATAACTGTATTCTGAAAAAATACATACAATTTGCTTTTTGCTACTTTATCACTTTTCAGCTTTTCAAATACGAACCTTCAATGTGGCTCTAGCTTGGAGCAACCTTGTGCTTCTAATTCAGCTATTCCAGGTTTTTATTTTCATTTTTTCCTTTGTCTTGTGTAGTTTTTGATATTCAAAAAGTTCTAAACCTAAAGTTTACATTTTCCTGTAGCTTCAACCAACAAATCAAAAGTTGCAGTGGCTTTAAGTTTGGCAAGTTGTGGCGCCTTCGGAATTCTATGTTTAGGGGTCATCTTTACATATGTATACCGATTCGCGCAAAGACACAAAAGTGATGTTTTTGTTGATGTTTCAGGTATTTTCTTATAATGCTGGGGTCCTTCTAGTCATTTATCTTCACCGTCCTAATTGGAATATGATTGATATTTTTAACGTGTTCAGAGTCATACTTATTGCATACTTCTGGAAAAACTCTTTGAAAAGTAATATTTGATCAGGTGAAGATGAGAGCAAGATTTCATTTGGGCAATTGAGAAGATTTTCTTTGCGTGAACTTCAGCTAGCCACAAAAAATTTCAGTGAAAGCAACGTGATTGGCCAAGGAGGCTTTGGAAGAGTATACAAAGGAGTACTCTTGGACAATACAAGGATTGCAGTGAAACGCCTGGCCGATTATCATAATCCTGGTGGAGAGGCCGCATTCCAAAGAGAAGTTCAACTTATAAGCGTTGCAGTTCACAGAAATCTCCTACGTTTGATTGGGTTCTGTACAACCTCAACCGAAAGAATCCTTGTATATCCTTTCATGCAAAATCTAAGTGTTGCATATCGCTTGAGAGGTAATAGAACCACACTTTTCTTCAATTCTGGAGTTGACTGACTATATTTGAGTTAAATTCTTGACACTAATTTGTGGATGATGCAATTAGATTTGAAACCTGGAGAGAGAGGTCTGGACTGGCCAACAAGGAAACGTATAGCATTTGGTACAGCACATGGATTGGAGTATTTGCACGAGCAATGTAATCCTAAGATCATACATCGCGATTTAAAGGCAGCAAACATCCTGTTAGATGATGAATTTGAAGCAGTTCTCGGAGATTTTGGCCTAGCTAAGCTGGTTGACACAAGACTGACCAGTGTTACCACTCAAGTGAGGGGTACAATGGGACATATAGCCCCAGAATACTTGTCCACAGGAAAATCATCAGAAAAAACTGATGTCTTTGGATATGGCATAACACTTCTTGAAATTGTGACAGGTCAACGAGCAATCGACTTCTCCCGGCTCGAAGAAGAGGAGGAGGTTCTTCTGCTAGATCATGTAAGATTCTAGTCCATTGTTGTATCTTGAAATGTAAAAACTGTTACTGTTGATGACTCGTTTTCTATGTTCAACTCTGCAGATTAAGAAGCTGCTGAGGGAGAAGAGGATAAAGGACATAGTGGACAAGAATTTGGAGAGCTATGATGTGAAGGAAGTGGAGAGGATTATTCAGGTTGCCTTGCTTTGCACGCAAGGCTCGCCTGAGGATCGACCAAGCATGTCAGAGGTAGTGAATTTGCTGAATGGGGAAGGTTTGGCAGAGAGATGGGCAGAGTGGGAGCTAATGGAAGAGATGAACAATAGAGAAATGTCACTCTTGGCTCACCAATTTGCTTGGGCTGATGAATCTACGCACCATCAAGAGGCTATTCAGCTTTCCTGGGCAAGATAAAAGACACATATATGGTTTTGCAGGACTCTGTTTTGAGAAATGCAAATGCTTCTTCTAAGTCAAGCACATGTACCTTAAATACAGTGTGGTGGATAGTGTTCGATATCCAATGAACCAAAAACCGAAAAAGGAAACTCTTTTCTGTATCAAGCTTTTGTTTTTGGCACAGGTGAGTCGTTGTAGAGGTAGAGTATTAGAGGCAAGGCCTACGCCCTAGTGCGACACACGTATCTCTGTACCTGCCTCGTGTAAACTTGCATCTGTTGCATGTAAGATATTGCCAATCTTCCCCTGAAGTGAGAATAGATAAGGTCTTTTTATATTAATTTGGTTGCTATGTATCTTAATTAAAATAATCCCTGAAACCATTTTTGAACGACATTCTAAAACATTAATATGGAATATAATATACCTCAAAATGCTATAACTTTCGTCTTCATATTTTAAATCGTCAATGTAAAATATAAAAAAAATATATTAATTGCATAGTCAACAACTTTACTTTATTTCAATTTAAATGCATAAAGACCGCTCTAAATTTTTCGTAAATCCATTAACTTGACTATGTTTTTTTGAAATATTTTATCTTCTAGCAATTGAAGCCGTCTTTTTTATATTTTTGACATGCTTTTGAGTTTTAGGTGTTCACAATTTCGAAATAAATCCAAGTTACAATATATTATCAATTTATTCCGATTATAAATATAAAATATAAAAAAATAACAAATCTCATTATTTATTTGTCATAAATGCTATAACTCATTTATAAGATTATTACCATATGTCTAATTCTATGGAAATAGTAACCTAAATGCTTTCAGGATAACTGAGAATCTGACTATCTGAGGATAGAACAGTCAACTATTTGGTTAAGTGCACAAAATGTGATCAATACTTAAAATAGACTACATTATTTACAAATAATATACTTTAGTCTAATTTTTTACATTTTTTATATTAATTTCGTAATTTGTATGAACATTAATGTTATTTTTATGTTTTTAAATGTTTAAAAAATATTTTTAAATTTTTAGCTTAAATTATTCTACCTTTTGATTTGTTTAATTTTCTTTGGTCAAATGTTTAGATTTAACTTAATTTACAGTGTTGGCACTTGGAAGTTGGAACTATCCTTTTTTGACGTCGGTTGGCACTTGGAGCTTGGAAGTTGGAAGTCAAAAAAAATTTTCTCGTTGAGACAGTGTGTGGACTTTGGAGCCATTGCGCGCAAAAGGTAGTGGTGGTACTCCAGTGATTTCTAGGGTTTTTAGTTCTGTGTAGCTTGTAATCGTTGTTGTCGAAATCGATGCCTCGAAGCCTGTCGCGCTCTCCGTCGTACAGGAGGAGATATTCTCCGTCCCCTGTGGGTCACCGTCACAGCCGTAGAAGCCGCAGAGATCGGAGCCGCTCGCCCTATTCCAATTCTACCCGGACCAGGTTTTCTTTTTATATCTTGCTGCTCCTAGTCCAAGTTTTCTGTAAAGCCTCGACCTTTGTTTAGCTACAATGATTGGATTCCTTGTTCCCCTTCAACTCAGATGATGTTTTATCTCTTAACATCATATAAGAAACTGACTGTCATTATTCCACAGAGACGGGTTCGGGTTCGAAGTGCCCGTCCCTGTGTTGGCTTTCGTATTAATTTTGAAAATTCTTAGTTTTGGTAATTTTCAAGTGGAGTCTGGATCTGCTGTTTGATTGCAGGCGAAGAAGTCGCTCTCCGAGTCATAAGCGTCGGAGAACACGGTCTCCAGCTCATAGACATCGTAGGAGACATAGAAGTAGGAGCTCTTCACTGTCTCCACTACCTAAATCTCGCAGTTCTAGCCCTGTTTCAAATGAGCATAAAGCTGCCTCTGACAAACTGAAAAAAGAGGAAGAAGAAAAGAAAAGGTAAACTTCCTGATTCATGCGCCATTTTTTGTGATCTCCCTTCACAAAACACTTGGATACTTATCATGCCTATGAGATTGTAATTCATTTTCTCAGCATAACTTTGGTTAATGAAAGGCATATATGTTCATCATAGGCGAGAATCTTCCATAGAGGCCGTACTTGAGCCTGGTGCATCGAATTTGTAAAGCGTTAACTGAGTTTAATTATTAATGTCATGTTTATGGTTGATCAACTAAAAAGATGCCAGCAGGTTAACTTGATTAAAAAGTCCAGTTTGGTGTAAGGAGTTATGTTTATCACCGAGGCAAAATTTTGCCGCTGGTGGTGAGAATACACTAAATGAGTAAATTATTGGCATTATAGTTTGAAGATAATAGGTTTACAGCAACTTATGTCTAAATCAATTCCCATTTTTGCTTGTGCCAGATGCGTGATTCACTTTGAAAATGCAACTGCTTAAATTCTTCTCTACTGGCTTTTCTGAAGGAAGCTACTGCGTAGTACAATGTTTGTTATATATGATGAACAATTGGTGCGAAGTTTATCTACTGTTCCATAGGAAACTGCATATGTATGGATCAGGAACTTGTTAGAGGTATGCCTTATAAGCGTAAGCTCATCTTTTCCACGTTAATGGAGTGACCTGGTTGAAAACTTGAAATCAAGTATGAAAATTAAGTATTCATTCTACTCCTGTTGTGTTTTTCCATTGTCACCTGGGACTAGGAAGCTGATGTAATTATGATTTGCTTCTAGCTCTTTATTCTTCATCAGCAGCCGCTTATCTTCTTGAACATCTGCACTTTGTAACAGGCGTCAGCATGAGGAAGAATTGAAATTATTGGAAGAGGAAACTGCACTGAGACTTGAAGAAGCAATACGGAAAAATGTCGAGGAGAAGCTAAGTTCAGAGGAAGTGAAGTTAGAAATAGAAAGGCGCATAGCAGAGGGTGTGAAGAAATTGTTTGATGATGTTGAAGCTCAACTTGAAAAAGAAAAGGAAGATGCCCTCAGTGAAGCTAGAAGGAAAGAAGTAAGTATAGCAGGCTATTGATACTGCATATAACATAGCCTTGCATCATCAAGCGTCATAATCGCTGCATTTTATAAATTGAACGTGAATAACTAATGCATTATAATGCAACCTGCGCCCTGGGATACCTTCAAGTATCATAATACGGTTTGGCAAGGTTATCGTATCCTCTGGAAAATCACTTGCCATTCGACTTTGATGATGTAATTATGTTGTTTTACAGGAACAAGCTCGTAAAGAGAGAGAAGAGCTGGATATGATGCTTGAGGAAAATAGGAGGAGGGTGGAAGAGGCTCAGAGAAGAGAAGCTCTAGAGCTGCAGCGGAAGGAGGAGGAACGTCAAAGGGAATTAGAGATGATTAAGAGGCAGAAAGAAGAGGCTGCTTGGAGAAAGAAACTTGAAGATGAGCAGGAATATGCCAATCGAATGAATTCTTTGGGTAAGAATAAGCCAAGGCCTAAGTCTTTTGGTTTGTAATGTAAGTCTGGTGTCATTAAGCACCTCAAAGTGGAAGCATACCGACCCCCAGCAGAAACCTTGTTTTCTAGTGGAAGATTTTGATCTTGTGGTCTATTACATCAAACAAATGGCTTTGTATTAGAAATGAGTTGTTCTAGGCACGGAACCGATGTGCTGTAGTTTATTATTTTATTTTGAATCACGTGACAAAACAATTTGTCCTGTTTTTTATGATGAACAATTGGAAAGAATTGTATTGTAAGGCTCCCCTGCAAGAAGCCCAAAGTCTCTTCCAATGTCTCATTTTCATTGGATAGGAAGCTTGAGTAGTGGATTTGCATCTGCTAGTCACCCCAAATTTGCTGGCGCAAAGGCAGAGTGTGAATAAAAGCTAAAGAACCAAGTGACAGCGTAAAGCCAAAAGGAAACCGACTGTGACAAGAGAACCGCCCCCGAACTATAAGGATTGAGAAGAGATCCTCAATTCTTTAGGGTATGTTTGGTGTGAGGGAAAGAGAGGAGAGGAAAAATTTTAATGAGCTTATTTTAAAAAATTGAAGAAGTGGGGCTATCAAATTTTGAATAGGGAAAAATCTAAGATAAAAGCATAATTAAAATTAATCAAAAAATTTTAACCCCACTTCTTTAATTTTTTAAAATGAGCTGATCAAATTTTCCTTCCCCTTTCTTTTCCTGTATCTCCCTCGTACCAAACAGACCTTCAGGATTATTGTTTAAACTAGAGTAAACTGGTAGGCCGTCAAGCCTTAGTAGCTATGATAACTAAAAAGCCTTGGCAAAAACGAGGTGACAAACAGAAACCAAGAAACAAAATTGTGAATTAAACACTATTCGTGATATTTGATTTGGGGGGTGTCAGGGTACAAGTGCTTTAAAAAACATTTTTTTGTAAAAGAAAGAAAACTCTTCTATATATTTACTTCATATACTGTAAAAGCACTTTTAAAATCATGATTTGGTTTCTATTCAAACACTCTCTTAGTTTAATTCTATTTTTTAGCCAAAGTGTTACTTAGTTCATAAACATATTTTTGAAATAACAGAGTATTTTAATTCCAAAAACATTAAGAAAAAGTCTATAAGATTTTGTTTCAAAGGAGACTCGTAAATATTTTGAAAATAAAATAGATAGATAATTTTTTACATAAAATTGAAAGATATCCATATGATATACTACCTCATGTCCTAAATATAAGAGCTAGTTGACTAATTTGAGTTAATTAAGAAAATAAGTTATGTTAGTTATTTATAATAAATAGGTATTGTCTTTCTTAAAATATCATTGCTAATTGAGTTTCTTATATAAAACTATCATTATTAGAAAGATTATCTTGAAAAATAAATATAAGAGACAAAGTGAATTAGGATTTTCTATTTAGAATTAAATAAAAGTCAAACGATGCCTAATATTAAGAACGGAGGTAGTATTTTGAAGAAAATATAACGCATTGTACTTCAATACTAGGAGGAAAGGGGGAAAATTCATCATGAATTCTTAACAAAGAAGCTGAAGGATCATTTGAAAAATATATATTTATTAGAAATCTGAATCTTTCAATCTTCAACTATGCAATGATGAACTCATTCACACATAGTTGATGCTCCACCAAACTTTGAAATGCATAAGGATGGCAGGCAACATCATCAATCATATCCTCAATTCACGGAATCGAGTAGCATGTAACTTTACTTAAGCCATTTGCCTCTAAGACCATTTTGCGTTTTTTTTTTTTAAAAAAAATTATGTTATTTCAAATGCTTTCTCAATCTGCTAAATAGGTTCGTCTTTTTATACCTTCTAAACAGATACCAACTTCAAAACTAACTCTGGATCATATTTGAAGATTAGCGTTTTTGTAATGGTAATTCTGACTTTTGAGCACGCCTTTGAGTTTTTTTTTTTTTTTTAAGCAACAATAATATGAGGAACCGAAGATAACAACTACAATTTAACTGGAAACTCTAAAAATTAAAAATATATCGTATTACAGATGGATTAAGTGAGCCATTTTCTCGAGCAATCAGTTTCTGTTACAAAGCAAGAAAAATTTCGAGGGATTTAGTGGCACAGAAGTCAAATAAACGTAAAGTTTAAGACTTGACGAAACATAAATGTGTGACTTCCGAAGAATTAAAAATTTCCCTCTTAAAAAAACTATATGTTCAAATAAAAAGTATATTAATATGGCCCAGTCTTAGATCACTCAATAACAGCAACCAAATCTGAATTTTATTCTAATTTGATAATTGTGTGGGGTACAATTAATACCAACTGCGCATGCATCCCAAAAAAAAAAAATCAATTTTCTTCCCACCTTTTATTTTTGGTTGACCAAAACTGCAGAGCTGCTCATCAACTTTCCGCTAAATCATAGAAATTAAGCATAAGTTCACATGCATATTTACCAAACAAAATCATCAATATGTGTTAGTTAATATTATTGCATAGTCCCAAGTTTGACAATTGCCATTTATTGTCTAATATTACCTCCGGTCTTTAATATAAGATCTCGTTTGACTTTTATTTTGATTATAAATATAAGACTTCAATCCATTTTGTCTTTCATATTTATATATTTTTTTTCCAAGGTAATCTTTCTAATAATAGTAATTACAGCCAATACATTTGATTAGCAATGATATTTCAGAAAAGACAATACCTATTTATTACAAATAACTAACTCAACTTATTTCTTTAATCTACTCAAATTAGTCAACTAGCTCTTATATTTAGGATTAGAGGTGGTAAATTGACATGAAAATCTTGATACGTTCTCGCACGGTCTCACCAAACTGAAAAAAGGATCATCAACCTAACTTTTCCCTATCAGATGCGTAGAGTTGAAACAATTATGTTAATGCCCAGTTTGCCTCCATCACGACCAATTATGAGTAAACCATTTTGTTCACCCAACACATCCAATCTCGAAAGTCCACGTCTCTAGGATAATTTACCTTATTTTGAACGAAAATGTTCGAAGGAGGAGAAGTAAAACAGGGATAAGAAAAGTATAGAGTAACAGATAGCCTACTTTCGGCTGTATATTCATGTCTTGTATATATTAGTTTTATTCAGGCAGGCTTCATTATAGCTTCAATGGCTTTAACAAGTGCATGCATTTAAAAAAAAAAAAAAAAAACCCGTCCACAATAATTACAATCATCACCTTCCACAATTTCTCTTGCTTTGTCAGCCACGTTTAGGTATATTCTTCTTGTCATTTTATAGCTCAACAATACCAAGACCAGAGAGCTAGAAATTAACGAGATCCAAGAACTGGAGCCTTTTTATTGTCTTAACGTTGCTATATTCACCAACCAACACTTGTGTTTCCTGACATCTCAACGCCCGCTCATCCTCAAACTTAAATTCACTCGATAAACGTTTCATCTTTTCTTCCTCATTTTCTTCTACTCATGGCTAGACTGCAATCTCCATCATCTCTCCTTCTGGTGTCTCTGATAATAGCAATTACTTTCATTGATCCAACATGTTCAACATCCAGGAAAGCTCTAACGCAGCAGCATCAAACAGTTCGAGTCTCCCTCCACCACGTCGATTCAGGGAAGAACTTGACCAAGTTCGAGCTCGTCCAGAAAGGAATCAAACGTGGCAACCAGAGATTGCAGAAGTTGAAAGCAATGGTTTTGGCAGCTTCATCACCTGATTCACAACTAGAAGCTCCAATTCATGCAGGAAATGGTGAGTATTTAATGCAGTTATCAATAGGTACACCCCCAGAAGCCTTCCCTGCAGTTTTGGACACTGGCAGCGATCTCATATGGACACAATGCAAACCTTGCACACAATGTTACAAGCAGCCCACACCCATCTTCGATCCGGCTAAGTCATCTTCTTACTCTAAGCTACCTTGTGACAGCAAACTCTGCAGTTCACTACCTTCCTCTACTTGCAGTGATGGCTGCCAGTATGTCTATACATACGGTGACTATTCCATGACACAAGGTATTTTAGCCTCCGAGACTTTCGCGTTTGGAGACTCTGGCCATCAAGTTTCTGTTCATAGCATCGGGTTTGGCTGCGGAGAAGACAACGAAGGAGATGGGTTCGAGCAGGCTTCAGGCCTGGTTGGGCTGGGTCGTGGGCCCTTGTCCTTGGTTTCCCAGTTAAAGCAGCCTAAGTTCTCATATTGTTTAACTTCCATGGATGATGACGCCAAAACCAGTACTCTATTTCTGGGGCCGTTGGCAAGTGTGAATGCAACACAAAAAGCGCTGACAGTGCCTTTGCTTACGAACCCATCGCAACCATCTTTTTATTACCTTCCTCTTGAAGGAATCACTGTGGGAGACACTCGATTGTCCATCGAGAAATCAACTTTTAAGGTGGGAGATGATGGAAGTGGAGGGGTAATCATAGACTCTGGCACTACCATCACTTACATTGAAGACAGTGCTTTTAATGCACTCAAGAAAGAGTTTACTTCTCAGATGAGTCTTTCAGTGGACAAATCAGGGTCCTCTGGGCTAGACCTTTGTTTCGCCTTACCATCTGGCACAAACCAAGTGGAAGTTCCAAAGCTAATATTCCATTTCAGGGGTGCAGATTTGGAGCTGCCTTCTGAGAATTATATGATTGCTGATTCGGATGTGGGTTTGGCGTGTTTAGCCATGGGAGCTTCCAGTGGGATGTCCATATTTGGTAACGTTCAGCAGCAGAACATACTGGTGAATCATGATCTTGAGAAGAAAACCGTTTCGTTTGTCCCCACACAGTGTGATCAGTTGTGAGACATGCGGGTGTTTTCATTGAGGCGTTCATGCTTTCTCTCACGTCTAGCAGACATTGTTATTTCATAGGGTTATCAACTTTTTTTTCTGCTTTTTTCCTAAATTGTTGTTGATAATTGATTGCACGAGGCATGATTCATCTGTTACTTGAAAGACAAGGATGCTCTGTTTTTAGATATGTTAATGATTGAACCCATGTACCATGCCTTTTAACTGTTACTGTGTTGCAAGTTGGAAAACGGTTGCTCAACGTCTCTCACCAAACCTCTGACCCTGCTTTTCGAGGGAAAGAAGTTGGATTTCCACACCCTCGTAAATTAGAAAGAAACTTAACTCTGAATAAATATTTATTGCACCCTTTCGGTCAGACATTAATCTCACACACACGCACAGCACGCAAACAGCGTTTTTTATGTTTTTTTGGGTGGGGGCCTAGACCAGGGCTTTGAGTGAAAATGAGCATGGGCTTTTCCTTCTTTCCTCGGCCCATTTTTCTTTCAGGCATTTGCTTCTTCCCAAAAGGGCCCAGATTCCCGACTCTCATAAGTGATATGGGCCCAATGTGTACATTGAAGATCCGATAGTGAAAAAAATAATGGCATGTAACTCTGCTTTTTGAAGAATTTAGATCCGGTGAGGGGCAATGAAATTCTAAGTATTTTGATTTTTTTTTATTTTTAATCACATTGAATCTGTTAAACAAAAATTTTATGATCACAGAATGTAAAAAATGAATGCAAACCTTGTGGACATTCAATGCAATAAAGGAATGAGCAGCTGAGATCGAATGTGAATTGCAGATTAAATAAGTCGGGGTAGTTTCTTACCACCCTTTTTTGTTTTTGTCCCTTTTGGAATGAAAGCAGGAACTAATCATAAATTTGATATAAAGACTTTAATTGCCATATCCTTTTCTGGCCATTTCCCTATTTAAACAACCCCAACAATATCTTGGTGCTGGTTACATGATCAGCGTAGACCTTCTCTATTCATCATGTGAGTGAGTGAAACGAAGGCTAGCTAGAATGTCATTTTCATTCACTGGTCCTCCCAAACCGATACGTAACGCAGGGACACTGCATTTATGAGTCAGCCCAGAATACAAATAGAGTGTTGGGAGTGTTGGTTGCGCGTAAAAGAGGAAGTCATGTCCGTACACGTCGCAATAACAACAAATCCAATATCATCAAAGAATTGATCACGTGTATGTATGTGTTTGTCATAGGCAAGCATCGTCTCTCTTGTATGGTGACTCCGTGCATGGACGGTGTCTTCCTCCTACCCTACCATTGCACCAAAACACCCTCCCTTCTCATCCCCTTGTCCACTTAACACCTGCCTCCAATTTTTTTTATTAATTTTTTTTCCTCTGCTTTTCCTCTTGCGGAAGAGATATCTATACTAAGTAAATAACTTATTCGTGTGTTCATATGATACTCCCTCTATGCAATGCAATATAGGGGGTGTTTGGGTTAAGCTAAACGTACTTTTTTAAAACATTTTTTTATAAATCGAAACAAATTTATCCACATATTTATTTTGTATACCGTAAAAACACTTTTAAAATTATAATTTTGTTTCTACCCAAACACTCTATAATCATGTTTCTTCACAGATGATCGTTTTGCATCTCGATCGTCTTTTAGAGTCTCTCCATGAAGTCATGATTTGCCATATAATACATTATAATTTGACTATTCGAGCAATAATTCTTTTTTTTTTTTTTTGAGTGAGTGAAAATCAAAGAGCTCAGCGAAAAGGAAGATGTGCGGACATATTATGATCATGCGCAGGGATCCAGGGAGGATTTGATGATCACTTGTGTCATGCGTACGAACTTCACCGACCTTATCGCTCCCGCCATCCACCTGGACTCCCCCGACGCTGACCCCTCCCTACGTCTCCCCAGTATTCGCCCAACCAACTCTTTCCCATTAATTCATTTTTTTTTTTAAGTTTGACATTTAAAATAATCTGTAACAGTTGTGCATATTAAAAATTCTATTAAGTAATAGTTTTGACTAATACATATAATTAGTAAAAGTATTTTATAAAAAATAACATTTAATTATTATAAATAAATAACTTAATAAATCTTTAATTTATTTAAGCTAATTAACTAATTTTTATGTACATGTATAACCCTTCTCTGGTCTTTGCACTCGTTTTTTCAGGGCGTCTCATGCATGATTGATACGGACACGTGGCAAATTTAATGATGGAGGCGATGGGGCCGGACAACCGTACAAACTTTGACTCGTACAACACCGCATCAGTGGAGCAACATGTGTGAACGTGAGGGGCTTTTGAAGGTTTGAATGAGCAGCCTCGAATGTTGGTACAAGTTTCTGTGGCCAAGTATGCGCGTCCATGCTTTGTGGCTGCTATGATTTTCAAATGTATAAAATCAAACCATTATATATTACTACAAGACCTAATTATAAAAATTAGTTAACTAATTTAAATAGATTAAAAAAAGAAATTAAGTTAGTTATTTGTAATAAATATGTGTTAGTATTTCTTAAAATATTTTTACTAATCAAGTACGTTGTCTAGAACTACTATTATTAAAAGGACTAATTTGAAAAAAAAAACATAAATATAAAAATAAAATGGATTAGAATTTTATATTTAATACCAAAATAAAAAAAATTTTATATTAATTAAGGATGGGAGGTAGTAATTAATTACATCTTTTATTTAACTTTTTTTGAAAGGTAATGGAGTGTCTAGAAGGTGCTGAGCCTGACTCCATGCCACTCCCCCCCCCAATTAGTAATTAACCATATCACGGTCATTGGTCATCATCATCAAATTTGTCTGATTATTAGCATGATTGTAGTTTACTCCTGTTTTAATTAATATCTTGCAACCCATCATCATCACTCGACAACGATCCTGAATTTTTAAACCCAACAAGATAAGCGTGGCTTTATGCATGTTTTGATCTAATCACATTGAAGCTGTAGGAGGTACACGCAGGGACAGGCTCGGCGTTTTGTGTGTTATCCTACTTTATGAAAGTTAACAACAAAGAAATACGCCTCCTAAGGTGGCTTTTTTAGAAAAGTGAAAGTGATGTTTTATTATTACGTATAAAACCTAATTTGTAACGCAAATTATCCTGTAAACTGAATTTTATGTTGAAGATCGGAGGCAGCGTTAGGAAAAAGTGGAAAACAAACACATGAGAGGAGTGAGATTAGGGGCGTCGGTCGGTGTTGACCTTTCAAACCAAAAGGAGGCGTCACTGTGGACAGTGGAGTGCACGCTCATCAAGCCATCTTATTCTCTCTTTTCTCATTCATGTATTCCATATATGTCACCGTCCGCTCCCACTGAGTCCGCCACCCCCAAAAAAAGCTCAAGAAAAAGCGATAAGCCACTCTCTAATTACAACAACAAAAAATTTTAACTTTATCCGGGTACTCGTCTTCAATGCTTAAAATTTTTAAAAAAAAATGTATTATGTGAATTTTGATGGTGTGTCGGATACTCGTTTTTATTAATTATACATGGGGCCCATTCATTAATGGTAGAGAATAAAAAAGAACCGTCTTCTGGCTCACGCACACACAATCTCGAGTATTATATAACCAATCATTCCTCCAACCTTACCAGCATAATCGGAATCTCTCTCCCCCTCCCTCCCTCCAGCCGGCATACCGTATCACACCGTCTTCTTTCCTTACTGGGATTCAGTCGTGCGAAGTAAAGATGCAGGAAGACAAAAGGATGAGGGTGAAGAAAGGTTGGCTTGCAGTTCAGGTGGGTTTGGCCGACGAAGATGGCGTCCCTCAGAGATTCGTCATCCCTATTTCTTATCTCCGTCATCCTCTCGTCGTCAGCCTTCTCGACAGAGCTTACGAGCTTTACGGCTACCACACCGACGGCCCCCTCCGCCTTCCCTGCTCCGTCGACGACTTCCTTCATCTCCGCTGGCGAATCGAGAAAGAGTCCCCCCACAACCACCACCACCACTCTCATCATCATCATCACCATCACCACCACCACCACGTCCTCCCTCACGCTTTGTCTTTCCACTCTTGTTGATTCCTGCTTCTTTTGAGTTCTTTCTCTTTCTTCTTGTTTATAATTAACCCCCAATATATGCTCTTCCCTTCAATTTCCCTCCTCTTTTTTTTTTTTTTTTGAGTCCTGTATTTTAGGAAGGCAATTTTAGAGCCGTGATTGGCGCTCTCTGCTTCAAAACCAACTCACAAGCAGAAGAAGTGTCTTGTTTAGCGTGTTACTTTTGTGTACTGGGTTGATTGCACAATCAGGGAAGATTTAAAAATCTCTACAAAATAGTGTCTCTGTTTCGTTTTGTTTTGTTGTATCCTTTCTTCTTTCAACTTTGGAATGGCCTAAGCCAATCTTGGAATTGAATCCGCAAAGTAACCTCTGTTAAGTAGGCCAAATTAATGGTTACCGAACAAGGCTGAGTGCGTGCATGAAAGTTGGAGTACTCTGTATTTGATAAGAGACTGATCGGATTCGGAGGGATACAAAGAGCTTAACACGATTTAAACTTCAATTTGATTTCATCCGATCATTCAAGAGTATTTGTCCATAATCCAAACACACCACCACATACAATTTATTAATCATTTTTCCTTGCTAAAACTACATATGAACTTGTATGTCAAAGGAGTGTGGGAAATTCAAGTTATTAGCCTGTTCTAACTGGGAACTGATGATTATAATTCAACTAGTGCAAAAAGTAGTACTTCCGGATATTAATATAAGGCTTATTTAACTAATTTGATTAAATTAAAAAAATTAGATAAGTTATTTAATTATAAGAAATATGATATGTTTTTCTTAAAACATTATAATTATTTTTCTTAATATTCTCCCTCCCTCACTTCTTTGATTATGGTTGAAAACGTATCATAGGGGTAATTTAGAAAAAACTGATATATCTTATATTTAAAATTAAAATTAACTTAATAATTAGGTCAAAAGAGTACAAGGCTATGAAAGCAGCGGAGGAACAAATATCTTTGTTTTCACTGTGGTAACCTACGACCGTAAGATGTTCTGTACTTCTAATTTCAAGACCATTAAAAAGCCGGGAGCTTAATGAGTTTGCAAATTATAATTTAGTTAGATGGACAAAAACTTATGCGAACAGTGAGTGCTTTCCCCGGGACTGCGATACCATGAACGAGGTTTTGGGCTCAGCCCGTTTTATCAACATCGGCCGGCGAGGTGCTATTGGGCCTGGACAAAAACATCATCAGCGGCGTTTCCTTTGAATATGCCCCCAAAAATTGGTGATAGGCATGTAGGACCTAATTATAGAGTTTTTATATATTTATTAATTTTTTTAAACTAATCTTATTGATATTTTTTTAACAATGATCAAATAGGAAAGGGAGGAAAAGAATTTAAAAAAATGATTAAAATATTTTAGAAAAAACATATCATACTAACTAATTTAATTAACATTTTTAATCTACTTAAATTAATTAATTAGATATTATATTAAATTTCGGAAGAGTATTATCATTATTACTATTCCAAATTTCAAATAGGAATAATATTACCATGGTGGGTGTCGTTATCGGGTTTGGGGGTGGGTTCCAAAATAGGATCCTTGTGTACGGCGGCTCCAAGAACGTGCGCTTTGGGAGCCAAGATATTGCTCATCACAACTTCGTGATGATGATTACCAAACATTCACGAAGCCACTCGATCGTACCTCTCATCAGCTCCACCCCAACCTCCTTTCTGGATTTTCTGCAACTCTTGCGTGTAATCATTGCATAATCATTGCCGTTACCCAACGCCGGCACCCCAGACCTCTCTGTACCGGAACCAAGTGCGCCCTTTCTTATTAGTGGTTGTCCTCAGGGACACAAGACTCCACCTAAAATGTACAGTGATGGCTGTTCCCGTGTTAAGTATAAAGTTCTTTTGATTAATTTTTGTATTTAAAAATAAGTAAGATGATTCTTTGTAATGACTGCATAAACCATTTATGATTTTTTTTTTTTTGAATGTCCTTGCCACTTAATGATCACGATTTTATAAGTATGTCTAAAAATGTTCTAATAAATAATGATGCTACGAGAAAGAAATAATTGACGTAAGGTTTAATAAGAAAATGAATCTCATGATGGATTAAACTGTAATCATCAGATCAATGTTATATTTAAGATAAAAGGGCGTAATAATATTCTAGGTGGGAAATGCAAAAGTTAAAACATATTTATTACTCAAAGTGGTCTGAAGAATCTTTGGATTCCATTGGATTTGAGATTCAACCAGTTCCTACCTAATTCGGATAAAGAAAAGCAGACCTTATATAATTAGTGCATTGGTCTGTCTCATATGTAAGTCTGAACATGGTACCTAGCTTCTGAGATAAGAATGGGACTAAATTGACTATTTATTAAAATGTCACGTTTTAAGAAAATTACGAATATTAATGATACTTTTTATAGGCCGTGAAAATAATTACTCCTCGTGTCTTTAATATAAGACCCATTTAATTAATTTGATTGGATTAATAAAGTTATGTAAGTTAGTTAATTATAAAAAATATGACACGTTTTTCCTAAAATACCATAATCATTTTTTTATACCCGTTTTCCCTTTTTATTTGATTATGATTGAAGGAGTATCTATAAGGGTAATTTAGAAAAAATTGATAAATATAATAAATGAATCTTATATTTAGGACCAAAACTAACTTAACAATTAGGTCTTACATTAAGAACCAGAAGAGTAGTTTTATTCTATGATCAGTACCAAAAGGGAATGCATGTGAGACAACGGGTAACAAGAGTCATGGAAGATTAAAGGACAAGACCAGAGAAGAAAGACTGAAAAAGAGAAAGACACCACTCTAGTCATTAGTATAAGTTATTTATAATACATTATGACATACCAAAAAATATATTAAATTAACAAAAATTTTTAATTTTATCCTTATTAAAGTTTTTTTATGTATATTTATAAATCTTTCTCATATATTTGTATTATTTCTTTATTTTTGATAAAAAGTAAATAAGAATAAAATTAAAGAAGAAGCACTAAATAGGCTACAAGTGCCCTACAAGTGACTCATTCTTAGAATCCGTATACCAAATTGCCAATAATATGGAAGGGAGTGAATCAGTGAATGAATGAGGCGTTTTACCGGGCCCCCTCTTACACCGACAATTCCCCTTTCTCCCTTCCCTATATATCCAAATCAGTTGACTATCATTTAATTTTTGTGTTTGATTGTTGACTGCTTCAAATTGCCTCTCCATCGGAATATTGTCCTCCACCTAATCCTTTTTAGTACTTCCAGCCCCCCTCTTTGGCCCAGCTGTCCATCTATTGAGGAAAAAAAAAAGATATACATTTTTTCTACAAAGAAAGTAAAATATAGAAAAAATTCTTAAAAAAATACTTCTAAAATTTCAAAATCTCAAGTTTGGAATGACTGTAAAAATGTGTTATCATTTGCTTTTGAAATGTTATCAATTGTTATTAAAGCGTAGTTAACAAGATTGATTTAAAAATTTAAAACTCAAAGATATCCTTTTTAAAGGGTTAAGATGCAATTTCAGGTGCAGTTTTACATCTAATCTTTTAGTAGTGCAACTTTGCCCTGATCTTATTTTTTAAGTGTAATTTTATCTCTGATCTTTTTTTCTCAGGTGTAATTTTGACTATGATCCTTTTCTTTTGATGTAATTTTACCCTTCATGGTCAAAATTGCACTAAAAGACCAGAGACGACATTGCACCACTAAAGAGAATAGGAACAAAATTGTACCTGAAAAATAAGATTGGGGTTAAATTACATCTTAACCCTTTTTTAAATTCTCCTTAAAATGCATACCCGCAATGTGTAAGTTTTTTTTTTTTTGGGTTGCTTTTTCATGTTTCCTGAACTGCCCAGTGTAGGGCTTTTCTGGTCGGGGCCATCAAACCACTTCCACAGCCCTAGTATCATAACCATAAAATCTGTCCATATATACTAGTACATAATTTTATTTTGTTTTAATTTCGTACATACATGTATAATAATCCTAATACGAGTAGTTGAGGAGACTGGAGAGTAGTTGTGAATGACATGTAATTGATGATCACATGCTCAACTGGTAAGATATAGGCTATCTGAAATTGATTTTAGCGGTTTATATCTAAGATTTCTGGCTTAAATTTTTTATATAAAATTATTTTTGAGGCAACTGACAGTTATAAGTTATCTTTATTTTCAAATGATATAAAAACGAAACTAAAATCATATTAAATCTACGAGCTGTCAAAATCTGATCACCTTTCTTCACGGGCGCATTAAACCACGGGCATCACAAGAATCCCAAATTATCATAAATTTCCCTCAAATTAAGGGCCACATATACACACGCACACATCCAGCTAGCTAGAATTCTAGTTCCTGATGTGTGTGTGTGTGTGTGTAACGCCAATATATAATATGAGAGTTTGATAGAGTAGGTGAGTTTTGAGCACAGTGCTGATATGGCAAGAGGGAGAAGGCTAAAAATAATGAGGTAATGATGAATGAAGAAGCTGTGATAGATGTGAAGCGCAATTTAAATCCTCATTTTGTCTTGTTCTCTGTGTTTGACTGGTGCTGGCAGGTGAGGCGTGGCCTCCTTCTTCGCCCGGACCAGCAGGCAGGGAGGCAGGCATGGGAAATGAAAGTCAAGAGAGAATTCCACGTCTGCGTCGTCGTCGTACCATATTAGTATTATTATTACTTACTCGTCCATCAGGCCTTGTTTCGTGGGGGTTGGGTTTGGTGGTAATGGTGGGGTAAGTGACTTGCTTTGGATTTATTAATCATCTTAATAATCACACACGCTACAGTGAGTGAGCTGTGTGTGTGAGCAATCTCTGAAACCCTAGCAGGCTACTCCCTATATATAAGAAACCCATATTCCAGACGAGAGCCAGGAGGCGAATGCGGTGTTTGGTGTGTTGAGGGGAATGTTGGCTGGCTCGAAGGCTTTTTGATCGCCATCTTGTTCTCTCATACACTGAGAACTAACTCATCACAAAGGCTTCGGACCAGGCTTCATTCCTCTCAAACCCACTCTAATTTTTGCATCTATATGTATCTCTCCCAACGTATATTCTGCTTGTTCGTCTTCCACAATTTTAAAGGTACAGGTTTGATTACATATATTATGCTTTTTATATACAGAAAGCTTGGCTTTTGGGATGAGAATTCTGTCTGGAACGAGGGATTTATCATTGAGAGATTCACATGTTTTCATACTGTCGAGCCAGGCTTCATCCACCCCAGCCATGTTTAATTTACCCTTTTTGCTTCATTCATCACTTGCCTTCAGTTTCAACATCAACTGTATCTAATATTATCTGGCAAGCCGTCCTTGTCTGTTGCACTTTTCTTAGATTCGCATCTTCTTCTGATGTCGCAGCACATCTATTGGCTCTTTTAATTCAAGGTATGCCCTTGTCGAACTTGAAATTTTTCATGATTATGTTTGTTTTTTTCAGATGGTCAAAACTGTTCGTAATTTCGCTATATGTTTATATGAGATCGATGGAAAAAGGAAAAC